CTAATTTACTGTGTCCTTTGATAAAAGTTTATAATGTTGATTTAAAATAAAGAATACCTGAATTATTTTTGAAGTCATTCTTTATATAATCAATGCATGGAAACAGCAACTAAAGATGGTTTTGGGACATTGGTATGTAATGGAGACAAGATCCTCTGTTAGAAGTGAGCAAGCACTTTAATGCTTAGTGTAGGTTCTACAAACCAAAAAAATGTTGTCCTTCTATATTTAAAAAGAGAAATTTCAGAATTCTACTTTTCCAAAGTAAAGAATGGACTTCACTTATCCTATGTGGAGTGACCTTGTAGAAAGAGTGGTCAAAACATTGAATCAAAGTAATTCTTGTGTTTAGTGAGTCTAATAGCCTGATAGCAATACTTTTAAAACTTTATTTTTGCTTTTACATAACTTAAAGCAGGTTAATCACAAAGGCATGTACTTTATGGAATCTGTAACAGCTGTAAGCTGCTAAATGTTTGTTCTACAATTTTTACATTTATCTTAGGCCTATGCATAATGATGTGCCTCTTTAAAAGCTTATTAACAAAAAATTCTTTAGTGGTAATGATCAATTTCATACCAAGCTTTAGTGATTAAGGAAAAATTTATGGAAAGATGCGTTGCTATCCTTCGAAAAGTGAAGTTGCGCACTATTTAACCATGAGTTCTTAAAACTGACAAGATTTAGGTCTAAAATAGGCTTCTCCTATGTTGATACATAAGTGCAAAGGTGACAGTTTAGGTTTGCTTCCAAAATTTTCGACAGAATTCTTCATTTAAAACTTACATTTTACTTGGACTTTATTAAGAGTCTCGCCTTTTTGCCACCTTTCAAGATGGCACCCGTAAATAAATTTGCCTCACCATGACAACGGCAGTTAGATACAAACAGTTCCGCACAAAAAAAATGGCGACATTCAAAACGGAAGGAGCGAGGAATTTTGAAATTCAACCGCGAAATACTAAAAAACTGCAGCTTTTTAGAAGTGACAATAAAAAGAATATCAAACAGCAAGTGACTTTCTATCTAATTTGAAAATTTTTTGACCTTCCTTGAGGTGTCCAACGAAACTCATTTTTAAAGCATATTTTTGAGGCACAGATCACGGACTATAAGGTCAAATAGTTGGAGCGCTACTGAATAACACAAATATAGCATAATGCTATTTTCTGTGTTTCTTAATAACATTGCGACTATTTAAATTTATGTTTATCGTCATATTGGCAAGCGGAATGCTTATGAAAATCTACGTTAACATCAGTATAAGATTCATTTTTTCAGTATGAAGCGGGATTCTTTCACTGAAGGGCAATCATGTATTGCCTAACATTAACATCGGTATATGTTACTGTATACTTAATATTGAATTCGAAACAAAAATGAACAAGAATATTCAGTTGATTAATCTCTGATAAACCTTTCACCTTTACTTTTCACAAGGTCGAGACTTAAAGCGCAAGGCTCTCTACATTTTAGTTGACTCTTCTCGTTCACAAGGAAGAGGAGTAGAAGGTTAAAACACAAATGTTGTGAGATAAGGTAGTTATTGTAAAATGGATAATGTTGTTGATGTGAAAATGAAACTGTCGAGAACTATCATAAAAATGAACGACAGTCTTCAAATACAAAGACAAACAAATATATTTTTGTCTTCGAAGTTTTCTTCTCAAGATGTGATTTCAAAATCCAAAAAACTATCTAATAAAACCGATGACAATTTAGCTAGTTTGGTCATAGACACGTTTTATTCTCAAAATGATTTCTTTTACTAGGAATCAATGTAATATGTCTACAATCAACGAACACGTCATCCAAACTCACCGTTTTTATTGAAGACGATTGTCAACGATAAATATTGTTCGTGTTTTATTCACGCTATGCTTCTTGTACAGGAAAGATGCTCGTTGTTGTTGTTGACAGTTCCTAGACTTCAGACAAACATTCCACGAAGGTAAACTTCATAACCAACTATCAGGTCTGTATGGGATAATTTGAACTGCGCAATAGCTTTATAATTAGGTTGTTATGTACAGTGCTGCCACTCTAATATTTTAAATTTCACTACGTGATGGAATTTAACTACTTGGGTGCTTTTCACTCAGTGATTTCACAAAACACGACAGGATTACATTACAGGATTACTATTTTGTTATAACTACACGCAAATAATGTCGTTTTTAGGAAGTAATAAAATGCTAGTAATTTTCAACCGCAAAACAAAGTAATAATTCATTTACTTAGAGAGAATGACATAAATAAATGAAACATAGAACGATAATATCCAAAATATGGTAAAAAAAAATTCCGAAGAAAGTGTCGGCTGGACATTATTGTCGGCTGGAATCGGTTAAATTGTCGGCTGGACATGGTTTTTGATAGTATCCAAGACCTGGTTGTCTGCGGTTTGTATTGGATTACCCTTCGCTCAGGCTGCACGGTTTACATAATCTGCTTTTGTTGCCATACTTTAAAATGTACAATCTACACTGAAATTTGTTACTTTTGATGGTAGCACCAAATTTATATTATAATTTCCGATAACTTAACAATCTCAGTGAGGAACATACAGTTTCAGCCTTTATTTCAACATAGAACAAAGCTTTTCGTGTCGCGGGAAACTAGTTATTTTGCACGAGAATGGTATTTAGAAACTACAGTCAAGCTGTCGTAGAAAACTATAGGACATAATAACACACACACTCTGGCTTAGCTATTTCGCGTCTTTTCAGTCTTAAATGTGAAAAGTAATTTTCCGTCATTCGTTTTCCGCTTTAATTCAACATTTTCACGGCAGCGTGCACGTGTATCTATGACGTCATTAAAAGTGTAAGCAAAGTCAAAGTTCGGAAATAGAAAGCTTCTTACATTATGATGCAATAGTAAAAAGATATTGTGGCTCAGGAAAGGATTAGGAAACATTAAAAAGGATTCTTAGCCATTATCCAAATATGCTTAGAAAAAATACGCAAAACAATCCCATAAAATTATCGTAATGCTGGAGCCGCGCGTCGTGCTAAAAATGAGCTTAAGCGCTATAGAGATGTCCATTTACGGAGAATGTACTTAGGTTTGATGCTTACCTTTTCTTGCAACGCATTTGCTTACTAAAGATTATCGAGACATGATGTACACCATTTCCTGTCTAGAAAAGTCTATTTTCTCTCTACTTTTGCCAAGAACTAGTTTAAACACGCTTATTTTATATCTTTGTATTTTGAAATAGCGTTCCTATTGAAAGAAAAAGTGAGAGGACTCGTGTAGAAATTATTGAAGGTTTCTTCAACAGTTGAATTTATGTAATTTCATACCAAATAAGCTGCGTGTCATCTAAAACCTTTGTACTTAGCCGTAATTTTTAATTACTTGAAGACAGCTATAGCAATCATTCATTTTTACCGTTTGTAATGTACATAGTTACAAACATAGAATAGGCATTAGACACATGTACTAAGCAAGACTATATTTATGATACTCCAATGAGGGATGATAATTGACAAGATATCTCACAATTCATCGTGAGGGAATTTTTTAAGTCGTTTTCCGTTATCATGTTGAAATTATCATTCAATGGCACATCGTTGATAATATCTTGCGTCTGGCAAATTTTTTTCCTTATCAAATTCTTCACAATTTTTTTTTACGCACAGAGCCGAGAAAATACCTGTACTGGTGTCAAATAACCGGGAAAAAAAAAGCGAACCTATTAAGGTCGGTCATTAAACTGTTGTTTGACAGTTTATGAAAGATAAAATAAGATTATAGGAGAACTAAAGTCTGAAAACACAACAACGAAGGGCTTGATTATGTGGAGGTGAGCTGGACCGGATAGCGAATAGCCTCAGACAGTATATAAACTACATTATTACATGAACACATAATTACATGACAGCGCATTACAATATATTTAAAAGTTAAGTGTGAATAATGTGGCCGAGAGTAGCTAAATGAGATGAATATTTTGAATTGTTTTCATGTTTTCATTGATTTGTGTTGTTATTATAAACACGCGATTTTTTGCGCGCCGTAATTTCCCCAGCCGGTTAGCCATATATCATGTCGATAAAAGCTTTCTCGTCCAGCGGGCTAGCTCGCCTTCTTATATAATCAGGCTCTAAGTGTTTTCACTTCGCCGCTATTTGCTTGCGTGCTGCTATTGCGAGACTGTGTACGACGAAGCTTAATATATTGTCCAAACTTTGACATTGTTAACATTTTCAATGACGTTATAGGCACTAAAAGTGGTGAATTAAAAAAAAACATCAAGGACAAATCAAATCTAAAGTTCGTTTTTCGCGTGTCCATTTAATTTAGTTCAATGGCGCGGAGAGACATGCACAAGTGCACCTGTTTAAGACTGTCCACGACGAGTATTTCTCAGAATGCTCACAGAATAGTATTCTGCAATAGACGTTTCATAAAAGACATTCTAAAATCTATTACGTGCTGTTGACATAAGAGAGTAAGTTTGTTTATATTTCTTTAAGCACATTATGGCTAATGTATCTTATAATTTGCATCATACGAATTTTTGTAAAGCTATTTGTTGTGGGAAATCATGCCGACGTGAGGTTTATATTAAATACAATAGATACAAACATCTTAACTATGGATATCATCACCGTTGTACTGTCTCAATCACCTCGATTATTACAATACATTAATGGCATCATTAAGGGCTCTTTTCCCCTCATCGCAAAATGCTCTCGCTGCGAGCTTGCGAGTCTGTTAAATTAGTTGAACAAAAAAATTTGTTCAACTAATTTAACTATGCTGCAATTCATTGTCAGCTTGCTGCGAGTAACTCGCAGGCACTCGCAGGCACTCGCAGTGAGCTTGCGAGTACGTTTTGCGATGAGTGGAAAAGAGCCTTAAGTCAGTTAAAAGTTGAAATATGTCACAGCTGCATAGTTGATGCAGGAGTGCTCAGAAGTGTGCTCTGAAGAGTGCATCCTTTATATGGTCAAATATTTTCTAACTTGGACGAGTCATTGCAATACGTCACTGCAATTTGCTTTCTTGGAAGAAGCCAATCACTAATCTTTTATAAGTTATAACATATTTGTGAAAGTGCAAAACTAGGGTATGTGACAACAGAAAATATGTCTCATAGTAATACATTTAACAAGAATACATTGATTGCCTTGTGTTAAGGGATTTGAAAGAAACATCGGCTTTGGCTCTTAAATTTTAACAAAATTAAATGCTGAATCTGGCCATTTCATTGCTTCATATGATTTTGACAGGATTGTGGGATTAACTAATATGGCCAAGGGCATTTTCAGTCATTGAATATTTAATAAAATGTTTTTTTCTGCTTTACTTACAGGAACAAGTTTTATCAGCAGTTTCCCTAATTTGTGGTAATTTGTCAGCTCAAAAAGGTAAGTGATGCAGTGCATCTTTTGTTTTTTCTATGTTTATCTCAATTCATCCATTTTATTAGTTCCATCCTTAGTGTATGTATTCCTAAACTTCTAAAACTCAATTTTTCCCCTAACCTGTTTTAAAACTGAATCTTTGCTTTCCTTGAACCCAACCCTAACCTTATAGCTACCCTGGGTGGATCCATTTCCTTATCTGACTTTGGCATTTTGAGTCGTGAACATGTGAGCCACTATAAAGGGTTGTTTGGGGACATGCGTACTACCAAAGATAGTATTTGGTACTACTCCAGATAGTATTTGAAATTTTGACTCTAGGCAGAGATATTGTCTGCATGTTGAAGGTTTTATTTAGAAAAATCTTGGCCGTACCTAGGCTCAATAAATGAAGTCAGGAACTTTTCCCAGTTTTCATTTTTATTGTGAAAAATAATTCTCTTCTTTGGATATCTCTGGAGAGAGAAAGCTTTATTTATGCTCTATCTTTGCATTGTTGCAACTCACAGAGAAAATCATGTTAAGTCTTCTGTTTTTTACTCAAGATGTTGTACACATTGTGACATTAAACAAGCTAGAAGGTGATGCTTATACAGGTTTTCGATGAAAGCAATGAATTCTGTGTTATACATGTAATTTATTAAAGTAAAAACTAGCATAACAACAAACCATATATATAATTTTTGCTTCAGGACACAAACTTTATAGTACTTTCATAATTCTTATCATCAAAACACAGAAGTATTTGAATAACATGATAAAGATGCAACTTTAATAAAAAGTACTTATGCAATGCAATGGCATGTTAATTTCATAAATTTTACTGAATTATTGATTTAAAGCTCTTCAATACATACAACACAATTTGCAAGCAAAGCAATGCAATATATATCCAAAAATATGCAGTGTCTGTTTTGGCAAAAACAAACAATCAATTGGAAATGTATTCTTCCTCTCGGACTCGTTGAGCACATTTCTTCTTATGAAGTATTATATACAAAGACACGATAATTTGTCTCCAACGTCCAAAATTCTACATCTTTTTGTGTCATCTTTATGATTTTATCTCATCTTGTATAATGCATTCATAATGATTCCACTGCTTTTTTTTGACCTCTTTGGAAACTGCAATACTATCAAAATGCTCAAATATATCTTTTATGTGAATAAGATAGCTTTTTTATGCATAAATGATTATATTAAGAAATGTTGTTTGTCATTAAATGATCCTGGTTACGTAGTTAATTGAGTATTAAGTTTGTAAAAACAATTTAGAAACAAATAAGAATGTGAAAAATGGTTTTACTATTTCAAATTATTGTATTTTAACAACGGTAGATTTAATTTACATATTAACTGCATCTGTTCTCTCTCTTCTGCAGAGGTTTTTGAAGTAACCTGTCATTTCTGATCATTGCAACGTTATCATCAACTAAACTGCTAACGTTGAAGTGCCTCATTTTTACTGGCAACTATGGGATGTTGCATTTGCTTTTGGGTTTGTTACTTAATTAAGCAGGGGGGGCTAATAATATTCATATATGCACATACTTTGTATTGTTTTGTATTGAAATCAATCATTATTACAGATTGTACAATATTAATATTTAGATATAGCGCCTTTATTTATCAAGCTTTGGCCGCCCTTGTATTGAAGATACTTGTATCTTCTGAACTACAATCTTCTGTTTTGTTCGTTGATGCTCTATTTCATTATGTTTCTATTGAATACAGTACCTGGTATGCTTCATTTAATGTTTGTTGTTTGTTTTATTCACATAATCAGTTGTACAAAGTTATAAACCTAAGCAATATTTTGTATTGGTCTCTGCCCAAAGATAAATCTATTTCCATTGGTGCACCCCAGTACAGATGATGTAATATGATTATCACAGTATTCGCAACTCTCATTTCTATTATGCTAATTGCCCATAACATAATACTTACAATAATTAGGCACTTTGAAATGCACGATGGTTGATATAATTTTCAAAGTCTACTATTCCTGCAGTAGGTAATACAGGTTGGTGATGGTGAATGAAAATTTCGCAGCAGCTGCCTATCCATGTGGATTGGGCATGTCATGAAACTTCACGCATGAGAGTAAAAAATTCTGAAGATTCCATTTCATAATATATTTCATAAAAGTATTGAAATGGCGTGTTTAATATGCAAGAAAACATTTTGTTTGAACATTATAGCTGAAATTTTAAAATATAGTAAATGTCAACCACCAATTTTCATCGTCTTGTTTATTAGCCTGCAATAAAAAAGGGCACATTAATTCCGATATTTGTTTAAAATATTTGATACAAAGGGTGGAGGAAAAATCACGAACAATTTGTGTGAATCTTAGTGGATTATGCGACTTATTGATCTGTTTACTATACACAGTTCATGGAAGACTGCGAATGTTCTCGAATGTTCTCTAGCTTATCTACACTGTTGAGATTAGAGTGCACCCTCGCTGGTGCTCGTTTGATATGAATTATATCCATATTTCATGTGGATTGTTCCAAAAGCGAATGTTCGACGAAATTTGAGCACCATTGGCTGCACTTACTTGATTTGGGTGAAGAATAATTGTTGCCTGCTGCGATTTTTTATGAGTGTTTTTTGGCAATATTTTTCATTCCATAAACTCTAACTATATTTTCGATCTAAAATTAGTATTGCCAAATGAAATTTTTAAACTATAAAAGGAGGTACGGTGTGTACATGTGGATAGCGTGGTAAATGTGTTGTCACAAAATGAACATAATTCAAAAAATAATACATATTTAAGTAATTTACATCAAACTTTAAAAACTGCTTAAGTTTTCAAAAATGTGCTTTATATTCACTGTTTGCTGTAGCACGCATCATACACTTGCCGAATGTCTACACTTTGCTTGTCACGTGAAAGCTCGCTTGCTCAAATCATAGAAACTCAGGTTCTTTGTCAATCGACCGATAAATCTAAACGCACAAGACTTTACATGGAAGCGTCATTGGTATTTTTTTTTTTTTTGAAACGGTAGTGTACTTTTGTTATTTTTTTAATAATATTTTGAAAATACTAAATTTCTGACAATTTTCGCACATTGCAAGGGAGTGTGAGTATATCATTGTGTAGAATGTATTTTCTGCTCATTTCTGAAACGAATCATATAACTTGTCTGATTTTTAATGTCATTCAACATTATTTAAATCAGGGGCGGATCTAGGGTATGTCAAATCAGTCTCGCGACTGATGTTTATTGTATAATTGTTTGAATTTCATTGTGAAAATTCTGTTTTATATCTGAAATCTTACGTAAATATCACGTTAGCAAACAGATCACTAGATTTTAACATATCTGGAATTATATTAACTGACCGATAAGCGTGGTGGCTCGACTGGTTCGACCGATAACGGAGTTCAAGAACGGCTAATTAAAGCCATTCCATTGGTCAATAGCCAGATCAGTGGACGATCTGGAATAATATCGATCGATAAGAGGAGTGGCAGGACCGATAAGAGTGTCTAGTTGCTTTCGTGTAATTGGTTCGTTTAAGGTTTTATCTTACTGTGTGATTGGTTTGACCGATTTCGACTGATAGCCAACTGAGGTAACATTGTCATGCTTACTGTCTGAATTAGTGTTGCCAAATTACGTATTTTTGTATTTTCATCATTTCCATAAAGAATGTATAGATAAATCATAGTTCAATGAAAAAAAAATCTTCATAGCTCAACAGTTCTTTCAAAACAACGACGATTTTAAGTTAATCCGATGTTTTTCGAATACTTCCGAGGGTTTTCGAAAATTTCCGAGGTTTTCCGAATATGTCCGAGTTAATCCGTTAACCTCCGATCTTAAAAATTAGATGTAATATGAACTTCTTGCCATTTTTGTGAACTTTTGACGCAGCGAGCGTGAATTTTTTAAAATTTCATCTGGCAACACTGGTCTGAATTGTATGTTTGATCGTTTCATAGTAATTTGCTAAAGCATGATAGAAACTATAATCAGCGTCACCGCAGAAATTTGGGAAAATCTTTTACAAATTCATATATTGACATGAATGCTGCTGTCCAGATTGCGATTTTTTCAAGAGGGTGAAAAATTTATGAATGAATTGTAAATGTTCGGGCAAAGACGCGAGAGACATTTCAGTCATCGATGTTCAAAAGCAAGCCATCATTTTGTTAGAGATTTCTCAGCAGAAATTTACATCCAAAATCGTAAGTAAAGGACAAGTGAAGTGTATGCATGAATGTAAAATATCAAAGTCAATTTATGCGAGTGTGTGATGCGATTTATGTCAATATGGCGTATGGTAAGCAGATTGATGCTTCTAAAATTGTTGTTGCCGAAGGACTTTTAGCTATGATTTCTATAGTGCTTGGTGAATCTCGGCCGTTATATCGCCAAGTATTTAAATGGAAAAATCTGTAGCTATAAGGTGCAATGTTATTATATACCTTATTATAAACAAATGTTTTGGGCTTTTCAGTTTATGATCATTGATCATTCAATCATTGGACAATTATACTACACATTGTTTAAGATTTGAGAAAACTAACATTGATTACATGAGAAGCTGTTTACTATAACATGTGATATTGAGTCTTATGATCCATGAAGCTTTTTATTTTGACAATTTGACTGGGATAGTATTAAACCTGAGCTATTTCACATACATGAAATGTTGTCCCATGTCATATATTGTCCCCTTTTCTAACTGAACACCACATGTAGAGATGTAAAGGTGTGTTAATCTACGACTCATATTAGATTGTTTGCCATAATTCCTAAGGGCTATTGATGTATGAAAAGCATTTTCTATAAAGTAAAGATGTGTTCCTAGGTATGCAGATAAGCCTTGAAATTTGGCAAAACAGCCAAGTATTTTCCATGATCACTAGGTAATTTTTCTGATGATCATTATAATTTTTAAACTAAATTATTTTAGATTTACATTTTAACTAGTTTTGATTCTATGAAAAGATATTTATCATAGCCAGTAAGCTTGACACATGATCCAATTTTAACATTCATGTAGTTACATGATTAAAGACATGCTGGTTACATTCTGTTTTTTTTAGCAAGTACAATGCTACTGGTAATTGCTATATAGCACAACTTGCATGGACTTACAGAAGATAATAGTCTACTGAAAGGCTTCATAAACTTTAATGGCATTAAACTGTCCTTAATTGCAAAATTTCCTCTCTGATACTTATTGCTTATTCTTTGGCAGAAAAAATTTTGAATTTTTCTCAAAGGTGAATTTTCTGCCACTGTAAGTGGAAATGGGTTAAGGGTTCAATAAACTTGCATGGTTTGAAGTCTGAGCTTTTTACATTCATGGACTGTCCCTTGTAGTACCTCACTTCTAACTTAAATCATTACATAGAGGTGTGAATGGGGTTACTAAGGGGTCTATGCCTGACAATTTGGTAGAAATTTTAAAGACTATCTCTGTTTTGAAATAGCATTGTTGTAAAGTAAATTTTATGCTCCTAAGCATGCTAATGAGCCTTAACATTTGGCAAAACATTCAAGTATTGTTCACTTTACAGTTTTTTTTTGAAAAAAACAATGTCCACATAAAGCATTTTGTATTGGTCTAAAATGCTGAAAATGGCATTCAAGGCTTTGAAATTCAAAATTTCTCACTCTTCCTAGCTTGGCTACTCGTTGTAAATTTTCCTGTAAAGTATTAATACACAAATGAATTGAGAAAAAAGCAATTATGATTTGTGTTCTGTGGAGCACACTTCAAAAATATTTCCCACTAGGCTACCTATGCTATAAGTAACAGAATTTAACATAAAAGCCCATCATGACACAATGACATCCAAAAATGTCTTATCGAAATCAAAGCAGCCCATGTCCCCCCATAAAATCATTCTTGATCCATCCCTGTCTTGAAGTGAATGCACTAAATTTATCCCCAGTTTTACATTTCACATTTTGTGTATTTGTTAAGGTGCAAAGAAAGATTGATTCCTTCTCTGTTCTAACTCAATCACCAAACTTGTAAGATACAGGGCCAGGACTCAAGTGGTAAGTATCCTTTTCTGTTCTATGCATATTATTAAGTCAAGTTAATCTTGCAATAGAATGGATAAAACATCACCCAGATTGTAAAAAATTGAATGCATGATTAGGCACCATACCACTATCATACATAAGTCTACATACGTAAAATATGCTGGCATTGGCCAGATTTGTGAGCAACAAAATTTTATTCATGACCATGGTATCAGGGTGTCTGTACAGAGCACATGTTCATTTGAAATGTGGGTGTCCATCCATTATAGGAAAAACACCTACACTTTTCCATTTAAACTGTGACCAAAAGTAGAGGATGGGTGGCTATGGAGGTTTCAGGCCCCGAAATGATTAAGATTGAGGTGCCAAGACCCCCCTCCCATTATTCAATTATTCATTGTTACAAAGAGCTTTTCAAAGTTTTTTCTGAAATAAGTTCCTCTTCGACAATGGAAAACAATTGACATATAAATGGCCTCTCATACTGTCTGTCTCTCATACATAATGACCTAATGAAGCTGAAACTTTGCTTAATGGTCTGAATGCCAAGCGCCTGCTACGACGTTTCTTGTTATTTGCTACACCGCTGTATACAAAACGTGTTCTGCTGTCACAGTCAGGGAAAAGCTCTTATTGTTGGTACAACAGCTTTAAGAAAGTAGAAATTAAAGGAAAAAGCAAAAAAAAATTAGGACATCTAAACATATTTTAAAATCCTGATCACGTAAGGTGCATTTGCCCAAAAGTCTTTCTTATTTTTCATTAAGCTGCAGATGGTTTTCCCTTTTCTTCGGTATTTAAAGAAACGTGATGTTCGTGTTTATTTTTCGGTATGCTAGTGTTTTAAACTTTTTTTCTTTGAAAACAGATTTTAACTTTGTTAATGATGCCTGGAATCAAGATCCGTGATGATAATCGAGAAAAAATCCCAGCGAAGTATATATGTACTTACTGTCATCACCTTCTCATCAATCCAATGCAGACCTCGTGTGGACATTTGTTTTGTAAATCTTGTATGGACATTATTCTTGGGTAACGTTATTTTTTATGTAACAAATCATTTATAAAAAGTTATAGTAGTTTTCATACATGCTCTTTCAATAGACGCCCTGATAATGCATCCCAATATCGTATCACATATCCCAAAGTATTTATGCGTATCATCTTGTTCAATTAAGTCGGTGCCTAGCTGGTAGGGCGTCAAAATTCTTTATTAGATCTCTTGATACGACTTCGGTTAAAAACTGTTGCGTAGGAGACTAGGGAGAGCTCATCATAGTCCATCATATTTTTATAATCCTAAATAGCAGCTGCTTTCCTAGGAACGTAATTTATTAGAACATGCATGTACAAATATTGACCCCCCCTCTATTAATGAGTTAATGAGCAAAGAAAAATTAGCATAGCACGACTAAATAAGCATGTTGGCTTAACAACTATAGTTAAAATTACTCTTTGAGTTCAAAAAAATATATATCGATTTACGTATATTGTCGTGTCTTGTGACATAGAAAATCCTTTTGCAACTTGGATTATCAAAGCTACGTGCAAACGTTCTGAATATGTTGACTCAACATGCGCTAAACATTGTTTTTTGTTTGATGAGTGATGCTAAACGATGTGTGCAAACGCTCTCAACATGTTGAGTCTTGAAATGATATCGCGTAGGATCATGAAATAAAATACTCCACCATGCCTAGCAACAGCGTATATACAGGTACATTAACGGTTCAGTGACCAGGTAAATTACAACAATATAAGCTGCACAGGTAGTGTTCATGCTTTCGCTCAACATGTTGAGTGTGCTGTCTTAAAAACCAGAAGTTTCATTGCGCTATAAACAAAGTTGAGGTGCGGTTTGGTGACCATGGAACAAAGCAAATGTTGAGTGCTGTTGAGTGGAAATTTTGAGCAAGTTCAAACTTCACTCAATAACGCTTAACATCGCTTAATAGCTACTACTCAGCTCTCCTAAACACGGTGTTGAACATGTTGAGCTCGTTGTTTGAGTCTACATGTTGAGAGCCTTTGCACTTAGCGTTAGTGCGTCGGTGAATTCTACTTCAAAAAAGTTTGCCAACAGTTCTTGTAAGAAATTTACGTTACTGTTTCATTTAACGTCTAGTGCTAACTTGCATTTGAGTGAAGTGACTCTGTCTTTTGCTACATTTAATCTTGTTTCATGAAAAATCAGTTTCCATGGATCCATCTAGGTTTTCCCGGATGCTTTCACGAAGCGTGAGTTAAAAAGGATTCAATTACACTGTCCATCTGAAGAGTGTAAATGGTTTGGTACACACGAAGAATTGGAGGTGAGTTGGGCACTGAAATTTATTAAAAAAGTGTGGCATTTTCACTTATAAAGGGATACACCGAATCTAAGGGATTAGGTACAACATCTTCCAAAATTTCGTGCTCGTCTACACCTTTCTTAGCGCTTAACAGAGCACGCAATATTGACTACGTTTCTTCTTGCTTATTAATTAATGTTTCCAGTTTAACTGATCTTTGGAAGCCTACAAGATAGATAAGAAAATAATAGAATAACTTACGTATAACCTACGTAATATCTTAAAAATATAAAACCTTGCAACATGCTAACAAGAAAATTCAAACAAAACTCGCATCAAATTGCTAATTGAATACACATACATAATAACAACGCTTTTCAAAAAAAATATACTGTAGAAAAGGTACCATTAATGTTTGGTTAAGAAAGTCTTCCTGCAGGTGTTATGTTCATAAAACTTGTCAAAGGCGTTTCGTGCGATGAAAGGTCATGCGCATCTGCAAAGCAATCACGTGTTGCAGTTAGTTGTGAAGAAAAAAAAAACATTTCAAACGACACGAAATGAACGTAAATGAAAACGTAACAACAAGACATACAATAATGAATTGTAAGAAAAGCTTGCCTAAGACACCACTATTTCGTTGAGAATATCTTTCTCTTGTTGTGCCAGTTGTAGGAGTTCCTTGTGAAGATACGTTGCTTGTATCTACAGAGAAGACATGTACTGGTTTTAACATATATCTTTATTGCACGTACGAACGTCATTTAAATTAAGGCACTACAAGTTTTATCTACAGAGAAGACATGTACTGGGTTTAACATATATCTTTATTGAACGTACGAACGTCATTTAAATTAAGGCACTACAAGTTTCATCTACAGAGAAGACACGTACTGGTTTTAACATATATCTTTATTGAACGTACGAACGTCATTTAAATTAAGGCACTACAAGTTTCATCTACAGAGAAGACACGTACTGGGTTTAACATATATCTTTATTGAACGCACGAACGTCATTTAAATTAAGGCACTACAAGTTTCATCTACAGAGAAGACATGTACCTGGGGTTAACATATATCTTTATTGAACGCACGAACGTCATTTAAATTAAGGCACTACAAGTTTCAAAAATCAGAAACAGAAAGGTGACTAAAATAAAAATCTCGAGAAAGTTTCATTTGGTAGTTTGATAGCAAACGCTGAGAATTAGATCTGAAAGAATGTATTTTGATTAAATCGTGATGAACACAACTGCAATTTTAACTATAACTAACATTTTTTCAACTAATTACAACATTTTAAAGGAGCAACGCCTACAGCACCTTTAGAACATTCATAAGCCCTATAATGCAACGATGGACGTAGAAAAACAGTAAATGTACAATACGAATGATAAAGTTAATTAAAAAGAATCAATCAAAATAATTTCAACATTTTAGTCGACATATTATATGAAAGTTGCTGATTAGTCAGTTCTGATGACAGAAAACTTAACACTACGCTGAGATGGTGTCCTACTAGTAGATGGGGAAGTTATTGCATGATCCTTTGTGTTTAGGATTTCTGGTGCTAGTTCATCGTCATATAAATCTAGATCAACATTATATTAAGATGAAAAGAGAAATTTTATACATGCATGTTCCTGTCAAAAAATTGTCCACTTGTACAAGGATTAAAATAGCGCTTATACCTTTTTCTGCAAGGGAGATCAGCTCGCTGTACACCGGCAAATCTAAGAAACAAAATCACTCATTAGATTTAAATGCAACGTAGCAATATCGAAAAACTGCACTCCTTTGAATAAAACAATGGCCTATTGCATTGCAACTACAGCACTTACTTCTAGAATTTGTTGATAAGATTTCATTGACGGCCGAAAGAAATTTTGCCTGTAAACAAAAGAAACTGTCTGAATTCTGTAGCTTTCCACCTGTCAACCTCTATTAAACTCCTAGGTTTTTGCACAAATGTAGAGGGGATAAATGGTTTAAGCTCCACCAATTTTTCTACATGAGCGACAGACATTTTAGCAGCGCGATTTCCCCTCATCCAAACCATAATCAATTTACGCATAACACCCAGACACAGTTGATGCATGTAGTGAATTGGAAATTGTTTTACCATATCAACAGGCAAGTGACAGAAATGGCTAACAAAGCGATGATGTTCTTCTTGTATCTGCTTTCTTAAAGAAATATTAGTGTGCAATTCTATATTATTATTTTGAGAGTAAGTCACTTGACCAAGCCACTTCCCTTTTTGTCTACACTTGTCACAACCAAAATAACCAGTACAAAGTTTTGTACTTTTAACAAGTGCTCTTGCAGGAGCATCACAAACCATGCCCCTTACTGTAACAGTCAGAACCTTTTGCCCATCTTGGACTCCCCTCTCTAGAATACCCTTCAAATCTTCTATAAACTCATCCTAAAACTCCAAGTTTTTTGGCTTGGAGTCACCACATGTTAGGACAATAGGAAACACTACAACAAGTTTGATATTCAAAATGGCAAACAACACTGGCCATACCTTTTTTGCAGAACTTTTAAACAAAGGAAACTCATCAGAGATTTCAAAATGATTAATGTTCTTAAGGTTCTCAGGAGCATCCTGTTTCACAAGGATGCTTGTGAAAGTGCTTTAACAATTGTTCACCAAAGAAAAGTACACGTAATCCATGCCAGATTTTTTCTGAATGGGAATACAACTTAATGTATGCAACAAAGTGCGAACACAACTAGACAAATTTGGATGACCATTATCCTTAAGAAGAGCAAGCAAGCCATCAACAGCATTTTGCTTAATTGAGTACTCATTCACCAAATCAACTAACCCATCTTGAAAAGAAATATTTAAACTATCATGTTCAAAATCCGAGAAACATAAAAATGCATCTCCCCAATGTCTGCATTCACATGCACAAAGAATCAGCTTTTCCATGGCAAAAAGAAACATCTAAAATATCAACTTCACTAGAAACAGCACGGTTATTTTCCCCAATATGACAATCATTAAGACCAACTTTCAAAGAGAAAGAACTTTGTTTAGGACTGATAATGGTTCGAGCTGATTTTTGTAAAGGTTATGAATGTTCATGGTCATTGTCAAAAACATTATTGAACAGATTACTACAGCCATCATTATTAGGCATTGCATCACTGCATCTTAAAGCTCTATTAGCAGCAATCCAGTTTTTTCTGTATTGCACCTGGTCACGTTTCATTATGATATGAACTATACTAAACAATAAAATGGAACTGTCACTCTATTTATTTTTGATTGATTTAAACATATCCTAATGTTACAACCCATTCCACCTAAGTGCTGGTGATCACAACATTTAGCAAAATGTTTTAATAAAAAAATGATCATTCTCATTCACAGGTCATAGGAACATATATGTCTCCTCAACCATTTGTAACTTATTCTCCTCTTTACATGCATGTATCATACCTAATTTATACATAACCCAAAAATTTTAAGTATAACATTATAGTTTATTTGCTAACAACAGCAAATGGAAAATGTTCTAAGCAACTAAATAAAAATAATTTAACTGACATTGCAAGCTTACTAAAGAAATAGGCGAAGTTAATAAACCAATCTAAGAGATAAAAAAGTGGGTTGTAAACTACATATTGTCTTGAATGCAATAATTGGACAAACGATACTTACTAGTATTATAAAGCAACCATGCATTGTTATGAATAAACATTCAATTACCTCTTTGTAAAATTATTTCACTGTTTAAAAACTGCTGTGATTTGCAATAGAAACTACAACTATTTTAAGGTTTAAGGCTACGTGATTCTTAATCAAAAACATTTTGTAAATCACATAATCACATAACACCATGTTAAAAAATATTAATCATCACCGCTTATCAGTCAGTCAGTTAATATAATTCCAGATATGCTAAAACGTGATATTTACGTAAGATTTCAGATATAAAACAGAATTTTGACAATGAAATTCATACGATTATACATCAGGAATTCAATGATCTCAAAAAGTTGTAATCATTAAATTTGATAAGTAATTTTTGAACTATAAACATCAGTCGCGTGAATGATTTGACATACCCTAGATCCGCCCCTGCATGTTATGACAATAACAACCATACGTACTGATGAATACCATATCCAAATGCTGTAGCAAGGTGTAGTGATAATATTATCTTTATAAAATAAAAATAGAAATTAAAACTAAGAATAAACTAAGCTTAGTAAATTTGTTTGTTCCTACACCAATATACCCAGACTCATAAAGTCACGGCAAAAGTAACATACGACAATCTCCAGATTATAAAGAATGATAAAATAAAGGTACTTACCACAGTTTTTAAGCAATGAAACATATTCTAGATCATAACTGCCTCTAAACTTGGAAAGTGAGCTGCGCATTATCTTGTCTTGACAACTATTAGGCAAATTCGATTCTTGCACGAGCGATTTTCAAATAAACACGAACGCCGATATTTTACAGGTATCGAAATAATTTTGATGTCACATTGATTTAAATAACTTTATTTATCCATGACAGACATTTGAGATAAGTAAAACGTCGCCAAATCTCTTAAATATTCGAAAATCCTTGTTTGTAAACGTTATCCGCCAAACATTTCTACTGTAATTTGTGTCTGTAGTGGGTAACCGGAAGTGCATTTTGCATATATAAATAGGCTTCACATTTAAAAAGAAAAGCTCAAAATAATTCGCCATTTCGCTGCCAAGCAAGAAACCCGATGTAGTGTTCTTCGCAGAAACATAGCTTACATGATACTTGTAATCTTGAGATATCTGAGTATAACATTGTTTTTAAAAACAGAGCTTTTGGACCACATGGAGGTGGTGTATATGTTTTCATGTATAAGACCAACTCTTAATTATGGAGCTAAGGTTTTTTTTAACAAACTCCCAAAATACCAAGGAAACGGTAATAAAATTCAAGCATATTAATAAAAACAATAAAAATCATAAGGCCGTATCTTTGCTTTTACATGACAATTAACTTTTAATGTTTTAAATTCAGTTGCCCAAAATATTTTGCCACGTATGAACTCAACGGACGAAGCCATTTGACGCTTAACTTATCAGAACGTTAAGAGATCTGAAAGATCGAATATTTGAAGCTTCAACCGTCGACCAGTGAAAGGTTTGTAACACTAAAGATAAAGAATTATTGTGTGTGTAAACGATGTACAAATGAGATCTTAAATAAAAGTTGTTCGTCAAATATAATTAATACAATTTTGATAAATATTAGTCTCAACCTGGTACTATAAAATATACATCATAGATACCCGTAGCAACTTGAAAACAAAGTTACAAATACAAACAATTTGCTTACCAAAAAATCACTGTCATCTAAAGGAAGACGTGTTTATCATGACGTGCTTGCTTGCTAAGTAATTGAAATTGTTTGCTAGCATGCAATTATATTTATCTTTGGGTCCGGACGGTATATTTATAAAATATGTTTTATTTCATTATACTTGTGATAGTATGAAATGACATTTATGAATCAAGAAGAAAATTTGGTTTGAAATTGCAAATGGACTCATGCATGTCATCATTGAAAATTTTAAATATTTAGTCGTTTTGTGACGTTGCAATTATCTTTCGTCGAGCTGTTGACGATAAGGTGATACATGCAAATTCATAGAATTAAATAAAAAAAACTGAAAATCTTTGATTTCTGATTTGTAAAAACAGAGCTTTTGGACCACATGGAGGTGGTGTATATGTTTTCATGTATAAGACCAACTCTTAATTACGGAGCTAAGGTTTTTTTTAACAAACTCCCAAAATACCAAGGAAACGGTAATAAAATTCAAGCATGTTAATAAAAACAATAAAAATCATAAGGCCGTATCTTTGCTTTTACATGACAATTAACTTTTAATGTTTTAAATTCAGTTGCCCAAAATATTTTGCCACGTATGAACTCAACGGACGAAGCCATTTGACGCTTAACTTATCAGAACGTTAAGAGATCTGAAAGATCGAATGTTTGAAGCTTCAACTGTCGACCAGTAAAAGGTTTGTAACACTAAAGATAAAGAATTATTGTGTGTGTAAACGATGTACAAATGAGATCTTAAATAAAAGTTGTTCGTCAAATATAATTAATACAATTTTAATAAATATTAGTCTCAACCTGGTACTATAAAATATACATCATAGATACCCGTAGTAACTTGAAAACAAAGTTACAAATACAAACAATTTGCTTACCAAAAAATCACTGTCATCTAAACGAAGGCGTGTTTATCATGATGAGCTTGCTTGCTAAGTAATTGAAATTGCTTGCTAGCATGCAATTATATTTATCTTTGGGTCCGGACGGTATATTTATAAAATATGTTTTATTTCATTATACTTGTGATAGTATGAAATGACATTTATGAATCAGGAAGAAAATTTAGTTTGAAATTGCAAATGAACTCATGCATGTAATCATTGAATAGTTTAGATATTTAAGTCGTTTTAGAAGTAAAAATATTGATCTGGAAGTGTGTTATCTTTGCAATAAACTAGTTTGTATGTCCACATTTTAAATGCGGCTAAAAAAATTGCTAACCTTTTTAACGTTACAATTGTCTTTCGTCAAGTTTTGGTTGCGAAGATTCATGTATGCAAATTCATCGCATTATATTTACAATAAATTTAAAAACAGGTGTGAGTATTGCAACTTATTAATTCTTTTTAACACTCCCACTTTATGGTCATACTTCCAAAATATCTTAAAAACGGTATATATTAGTAAAATTTATACTTATTTCTTTTGATCAATTTGTTCCAAATTATAATCAAAATAATGAACAAAAACAGTAAAAATCATAAAACCATATCTTTGCTTTACATAGCAATCTATTCTTAAGATGTTTTAAATTCTGTGGCACAAAATAATTTTCCACGTATCAACTCAAAGGAAGAATATATGATGCTTAAGTTGTCAGAACTTTAAATCTTTCTAAAAGTTCAACTGTTCATTGCTACACGCCTTTAACCAGTAGAAGGTTTGTAAGACAAAAAAAAAGAATTTTCTTCTTGATTACGACGAATAAATTTGACCTAAGGAAGCTTGTAAATTCTGTAATTGTAGATAAATCAAACGAAGTTACAATTCCAAACAAGAACAATATGCTTACCAAAAACAAATCACTGCCATCTTAAACAAGGTAAGATTTTTTCTAAAGAATATTTAATTTTTATTACTCACCACGAAGTACATTTTCTTTAAAATCGCAAATCGACACATACATGTCATCAATGAATAATTAGATTTTAAGTCGTTTTAGAAGTAGAAATATTAATCAACAAGTGTGTTTATCTTTGTCATAAACTATAGTATCGCTTGTTCAATTTAGTAAGTCCACATTTTAAATGGAGCTAAAGAATTTTGCTTATCGTTGTGACGTTGCTATTTTCTTTCGTCGATGCTAAGTTGTTGACGCTAAGGTTGATATATGCAAATTCATCGCATTAAATAACACAAGTTACGCAATATGGAAATTACGACTAAGCTATAGAGTTTCACGAAAAAGTTATGGAAATTCAAGAACAATCGTCAGGTCCAAATCATGTTGACGATGCTCAGTCTTTGAACAATTATGGTAATTTGTTTTATGAAAGTGGAAATTACGAAAAAGCTATAGAGTTTTACGAAAAGCTCTAGAAATTCAAAACAATCGTTAGGTCCAAATCATGTTGATGTTGCTGAATCTTTAAACAATCTTGGTTTGGTGTTTGAAAAAACTGGAAACTACGACAAAGCTAGAGAGGTTCACGAAAAAGCTCTAGAAATTCGAAAACAATCGTTAGGTCCAAATCATGTAGAGGTTGCTCAGTCTTTAAACAATCTTGGTTTGGTGTTTTATAAAATTGAAAACTACGACAAAGCTAAAGAGGTTCACGGAAAAGCTCTAAAAATTCGAAAACAATCGTTAGGTCCAAATCATGTTGATGTCGCTCAGTCTTTAAACAATCTTGGTATGGTGTATTATAAAACTGGAAAGTACGACAAAGCTACAAAGTTTTACGAAAAATCTCTAGAAATTCAAAAAAAATCGTTAGGTCCAAATCATGTTGATGTTGCTGATTCTTTAAACAATCTTGGTTTGTCGTTAGAAAAAACTGGAAACTACGAAAAAGCTATAGAGGTTCACGAAAAAGCTCTTGAAATTCGAAAACAATCGTTAGGTACAAATCATGTTGATGTTGCTGTTTCTTTAAACAATGTTGGTTGGGTGTCTAATAAAATTGGAAACTATGACAAAGCTAATGAGGTTCACAGAAAAGCTCTAGAAATTCGAAAACAATCTTTAGGTCCAAATCATGTCGCTGTTGCTCAGTCTTTAAACAATCTTGGTTTGGTGTTTTATAATATTGGAAACTACGACAAAGCTAAAAAGGTTCACGGAAATGCTCTAGAAATTCGAAAACAATCGTTAGGTCCAAATCATGTTGATGTCGCTCAGTCTTTAAACAATCTTGGTAATGTGTATCATAAAACTGGAAAGTACGATAAAGCTATAGAGGTTCTCGAAAAAGCTCTAGAAATTGGAAAACAATCGTTAGGTCCAACTCATGTCGCTGTTGCTCAGTCTTTAAACACTCTTGGTTTGGTGTTTGAAAAAACTGGAAACTACGAAAAGCTATAGAGGTTCACGAAAAGCTCTGAAATTCGAAAACAATCGTTAGGTCCAAATCATGTTGATGTTGCTGTTTCTTTAAACAATCTTGGTTTGGTGTTTTATAAATTGGAAACTACGACAAAGCTAAAGAGGTTCACGAAAAGCTCTAGAAATTCGAAAACAATCGTTAGGTCCAAATCATGTTGATGTTGCTACATCTTTAAACAATCTTGGTATGGTGTATTATGATACTGGAAACTACGACAAAGCTAAAGAGGTTCACGAAAAGCTCTAGAAATTCGAGAACAATCGTTAGGTCCAAATCATGTTGATGTCGCTGAGTCTTTAAACAATCTTGGTAATGTTTTGAAAAACTGGAAACTACGACAAAGCTATAGAATTTTACGAAAAGCTCTAGAAATTCAAAACAATCGTTAGGTCCAAATCATGTTGATGTTGCTACATCTTTAAACAATCTTGGTATGGTGTATTATGATGGAAACTACGACAAAGCTATAGAGTTTTACGAAAAGCTCTAGAAATTCGAAAACAATCGTTAGGTCCAAATCATGTTGATGTTGCTACATCTTTAAACAATCTTGGTATGGTGTATTATGAAACTGGAAACTACGACAAAGCTATAGAGTTTTACGAAAAGCTCTAGAAATTCGAAAACAATCGTTAGGTCCAAATCATGTTGATGTCGCTGCGTCTTTAAACAATCTTGGTATGGTGTATTATGATACTGGAAAGTACGACAAAGCTATAGAGTTTCACGAAAAAGCTCTAGAAATTCGAAAACAATCGTTAGGTCCAAATCATGTTGATGTTGCTGATTCTTTAAACAATCTTGGTTTGGTGTTTTATAAAACTGGAAACTACGACAAAGCTATAGAGTTCACGAAAAAGCTCTGAAATTCAAAAACAATCGTTAGGTACAAATCATGTTGATGTTGCTGAATCTTTAAACAATCTTGGTTTGGTGTTTTATAAAACTGAAAAGTACGACAAAGCTAAAAAGGTTCACGGAAATGCTCTAGAAATTCGAAAACAATCGTTAGGTCCAAATCATGTTGATGTCGCTCAGTCTTTAAACAATCTTGGTAATGTGTATCATAAAACTGGAAAGTACGATAAAGCTATAGAGGTTCTCGAAAAAGCTCTAGAAATTGGAAAACAATCGTTAGGTCCAACTCATGTCGCTGTTGCTCAGTCTTTAAACACTCTTGGTTTGGTGTTTGAAAAAACTGGAAACTACGAAAAAGCTGTAGAGGTTCACGAAAAAGCTCTTGAAATTCGAAAACAATCGTTAGGTTCAAATCATGTTGATGTTGCTGTTTCTTTAAACAATATTGGTTTGGTGTTTTATACAATTGGAAACTACGACAAAGCTAAAGAGGTTCACAGAAAAGCTCTAGAAATTCGTAAACAATCGTTAGGTCCAAATCATATTCACGTTGCTACATCTTTAAACAATCTTGGTATGGTGTATTATGATACTGGAAAGTACAACAAAGCTAAAGAGGTTCACGGAAAAGCTCTAGAAATTCGAAAACAATCGTTAGGTCCAAATCATGTTGATGTCGCTGAGTCTTTAAACAATCTTGGTAATCTTCTTGAAAAAACTGGAAACTACGACAAAGCCATAGAATTTTACGAAAAAGCTCTAGAAATTCAAATACAATCTTTTGGTCCAAATCATGTTGACGTTGCTACATCTTTAAACAATTTTGGTATGGTGTATTATGATACTGGAAACTACGACAAAGCTATAGAGTTTTACGAAAAAGCTCTAGAAATTCGTAAACAATCGTTAGGTCCAAATCATATTGACGTTGCTACATCTTTAAACAATCTTGGTATGGTGTATTATGATACTGGAAAGTACGACAAAGCTATAGAGTTTTATGAAAAAGCTCTAGAAATTCGTAAACAATTGTTAGGTCCAAATCATGTTGATGTCGCTGCGTCTTTAAACAATCTTGGTATGGTGTATTATGATACTAAAAATACGACAAAGCTATAGAGTTTCACGAAAAAGCTTTAGAAATTCGAAAACAATCGTTAGGTCCAAATCATGTTGATGTTGCTGATTCTTTAAACAATCTTGGTTTGGTGTTTTATAAAACTGAAAAGTACGAAAAAGCTATAGAGTTCTACGAAAAAGCTCTGGAAATTCAAAAACAATCGTTAGGTACAAATCATGTTGATGTTGCTGAATCTTTAAACAATCTTGGTTTGGTGTTTTATAAAACTGAAAAGTACGACAAAGCTATAGAGGTTCACGAAAAGCTCTTAAATTCGAAAACAATCGTTAGGTCCAAATCATGTTGAGTCGCTGCGTCTTTACACAATCTTGGTTTGGTCTTTAAAAAAACTGGAAAGTACGACGAAGCTAAAGTGGTTCACAAAAAAGCTCTAGAAATTCGAAAACAATCTTTAGGTCCAAATCATGTTGATGTCGCTGCATCTTTAAACAATCTTGGTTTCCTTTATGAAAAAACAGGAAAACAAGACAAAGCTATAAAGTTTTTTGAAAAATCTCTAGAAGTTCGAAAACTGAATGTGCCAGGTAAGGACCATACTTATGTCACTGCGTCTTTGAGTAAGCTTCGTACGATGTACGAAGAAACTGAAAATATGAGTCTTAAAAAGTCAGAGTAAATTTCCTGTTCCAAGTCATGCTCATGTTTCTCTGTCATCAAAATATTTTGGTAAGTTTATAGATATTATATAAAACATAATGTTGGTGTCTCATTTGCGTTAATGATATTTTGTAAAAGTGCAACTCCGGCCAAATTTCAACCCATCTTTTTTCGCCAAATGAAAAATATAGATTCTTAGAAACATTTTGGTGTATGTTTGAGCATCTTTGGTTTGGTATAAGCTATTTAATTTTAACGCTAAACTTCGCCGCCAGATGTGAATTTTTACAAATGGATCGTAACGTCATAAGATGTTCCCACCTCGATGTTCCCATTATATTACTGAAACAAATGCCAGCATGAAGCATCACTTTTGTTAAATTTTGTGTCGAAAAACGCGTTTTATTCCGCGAAATTTGGCAAAAGTATCAAAAAGATAACTATAAATACAAATATTGCTCAATAAATCTTTGGAGAACGCAGTTTTGTCATAAATTTCATCGACGATATTTGTTAACGCTGACAGCCATATTGAATGTAAATAGTAATCAAATGTATTCTGCCGTTCTTGTACTAAATGTTGGACACTTTGAATATTAAAATAAGCTTGAAAACGTGTAACTTTTGACGATGAAGCTTTCTGCATTGATGTCTCGACCACAGGTGTTGTTCTAGCTCGTAATTGTCACGGAGTTCCTGAGAATATTGTAACTATTAACCATAGTCTAAATACAGACATGACTGAACTGGAGAATCAGCTCTTTAGGGAAAATATACTGGCACAAAGTCATGCATCTATCAAATCAATAGGTACATTAATGGCTTAGGCAATATAATATTAACGTCAAATTCAATTCTTGTTTTTTGTGTCTAACTCCAACTATTTGAGATCCGTAGCTTATTGATGACTCTTAATAAGTTTCAGTCGGCTAAGAATACATACATATTTCATAGTATAATACAAAAAAGTTGTCCATAATGAATTTAAAGTCCTAGATTTAAGTGGTTGATTGACATACAAATTGTTTTATGTGAGAACTGGGTTATTCATTTTGGTTGTAGACAAACAAAAGAGCCAAAGCAATAATTGAAACGCAGTTGGGATTCATATTTACATTAATCAACAAAAATAATAATTCAAAAATCTACATATAAACTAAAAACATATACATAAAACCAGCTCTAAAGAACAGTGAGATGGAAACAAAACATTTTCATCAAACAAACATTGCTCAAGATTTATAACAGCTATAAGCTTATTGTTAGTTGTAAGATTCAAATAAAACATTGCACCGATTTAGAGATAATAATATTCCATATACCTGGTGTCTGTTTCAAGTGACTCATAGCATTAAAGCATACATTTAAATATCGTCTTACAATATATACGTATCAAAATTTAAACACACTTTGAGTCTTTGACTTTTTATTTTACCAAACCCAGCTCTGTGAAAATTATGTATTCAATTACAGTCATTATGTTTCCTGAAGGATGTTTCCCTAACTTTATTAAGGTGTTGCTCTGAGATAGGAGTAAACAAGCCACATTTTGCGATAAAATATCTATGTTTGACTTATCTCTAATAATTACCTTAACTCCGTAAGGACAAGCAGCCTTCTCAACAAATTGAGTTATTCGGCAAAGATTCCATATACATTAAAGGAAAGAATCGTCGACGAGAAATGAATTCGAAGTTCGAAGTAGCTATTAATTAGGCAACCACTCATTTGCTCTGTTTAGAAACAAAATTCGTCTATTTTCTACGCTTTTGGGTGCTTGCGTATTGTTTAGGAAACTTTTGAACATAAATATATACTGTGTATAACGACAATGTATGATTAAAATATTTCCAGAGTTTTCTTTTAAGTCCATCAGTAATAAAACAACAACGCTAAAAAATGTGTTAATGTCTGTGTCTGTTTACAATTTTCGTTCTTTGACAGGTTGCATAAAATTGCATAAAACTGTAATAGTTTCCTTGTCCTCAAAACAGACAGTCAACAACAACGGACTTTAACAACTTTTCTTGTAATTACTAAGATACTCGACAGAGACTGGCGACAACAGTTCGTTAACACTTATCAATGTCTGAATTCATTATAACGCTTTTAATAACCGAGTGTGAGGTCTTTACGTAGAAATATCGGACTGAAGTTATTTGTACTGACCGAGACCCTTAGGGCAAGGTTTGTGCTAAAAACAGAGTCCAAGATTTCTCAATAAAGACCGAGCAGGCGAGGTTAATAAAAAATCAATTAGCTATATGGTATTATTTGACCTGAAATGAAATTTTCTTTCCTTTTTTTATCCATTCTGTTTAGCAAAGACTGGCTTTCACTCCTCTAGTTTTTGCAAGGAGAAAATATATAGTTTGAAATTGTGTCGCCTAGATAATAAAACCCACTTTTCGAGTGTTCTTTTTTGACTTACATTCATACCATGGTTTTTTGTTTTGTTCTTATTTTCGTTTTATAAAATATTTGCTGTTTGCTTCATGAAGTTTTGTTAAACACAAGACAATTGACACCGTATATAATAAACATTATTTAATCTAGATAAATAATGTTTACTATATACAAAGTGTCTATTGTCTTGTATTCCAAAATACTCTTTGGCAGTCATAATTCATAAAGTTTGTTTATCTACATATATTTGTAAAATTACGTCTGGTGAAAGCTGGTTCATTACTTGAAAATATATACTGACCAATCAATCTTTCCAATTGTAAGGTCATTTTATTCCTTGAAAAGGTCAGTCATGTAAAACAGTGCGTAATATATGTATATGAGATTTTGCAGCTAATGGGCAAAACGAAATGAAGTATATAGTTTTAAAAAGCTACTATCCAAAATTTTTCAATTTATTGGTGTTATTTCTTTTCGAGCTCTAGCTGTAAATTCATTTCTTTATTTGTCGTCAAAATAGAAATACACAGCTTGTGTGGATAATGCTTTTTAAAATATTATTCGTAGAAATCACAAGTGGTGATGATGCTGATGCTAAAGATGTCGGAAATTCTCCTGGTGTTGAAAATACAAAACAAGGTATGCCTTTCAATTCTATTTTATTTTATATATATTGCATAAACTAAGAATATTTGTTTTGTATTCTATCACAATTCAAGTCATTTGATTGGTATTTATGTGTTTTTCTTAAGATTTATATTTTTTATATGTATATTTTTATATTTATATTTTTATGTTTGCCTTTGCACTTTCGGACTACGTATGTTCAATACTGTATCAATGGGTTGAATTTTCCTTTTTGAACGACAAATAAATTTAAATGTACTTTGTACCAGACGGCAGTGCTCAGCAGAACTTGACAAGTTTTTTTTTATCTCAATAAATACTGCGTAGCAGCAAAGTGGCGCAACTCTTTTTATAAAGTGCTCAAATTGACTGCACTTCATAAGTTCTATTGAAGAAAAAGGATTATGATAAATAGACCAAAACCTTTTAAAACCAATCTTGATATAATGTACACCACACAGATCAGACCCTGCATTTTGGAAGTGCTCAGGTTAGACCATCTGTTTTATAAGTGCTCGTGTTTGATTACATTAATTATTATTTTCTTTATTTGAGTACAGTAGATTAGTCAGAGTGTAACTTTATTTCAAGATGAAAATTATGTTTTTTGTTCCTGGCTTACAGCCAGGGGCGTAACTAGACTTGAAGTTATTGGGGGGGGGGGAAGTTTGCCCTGCAATAGGGCGTTGCCCAAATATAAACCTAAGCCATTTCGGACGTAACAGTAAAACAATGTATATTTGTTCTCATATCAAGAGTCTTAAGTGAGAACTATCTCAACGTACTCTTGAGGTGTTGCTTTTTACCTAAATTTTTTTCTGAGTTTACGGTTTTTTCTGGCTGCCCAAGATTTTAGTACTACCTTCAGATGAATTGTATTTGTTAAATCCTTCTCGATTGAGAGGACAATGAGTTCTTCCAGCCTTTCACCTTTCATTGTTGAGCGCAAATAGTTCTTGACAGTTTTCATTTTGCTGAATGATCTTTCAATATCAGCCACACTTACTGGAGCAGTAAACAGAAGTTTGTAACATTTATAAGCTTTTGGGAAAATTTCTTTATTTTCGAAAGCAGTGTTTCCGGCGTCGTGGACTGTCTTACATTTTTCTTCTTTCTCATTTACAAAGTTAACAAAAATCCCAAGATCTGCATACAGTGACATACAATCTACGCTAATTGCTGGAAGAAAAAGTTCGGTGACCTTTTCAACTTGTTCAAAATTTGGTTTAGTCAGTGAAGGCTGAAGGATAACAGCTAAAGGTTTTATTTTTTGTAAACAACTTTTTATGTTTTCTCAATATTCTCTGATGTGGGAATTGAGGACCTCAATTATGCATTTTCGATAGTTAGTTTTAGTGACATAATTGCCAAAGTCTCAGGGCTGTCATCCAAAGTCTGCTTGATCTTTTATTACTCTTTCTAGCAAACTCTTTCTCGGGATTGGACCCTAGAGACTTCGCTTACTCAACACTTGCATCTATTTGAACATTCAATTTGGATTCAGTGTTCCGTATTCTTTCCAGTGATCTAACAGCTTCATCAATCAGTTGAAGACCATCAAAGATATTGAGCTTTGGCTTCTGCATCTGTACTGTCAGTATCTTGGTCTTTCTCATGATAAACCTCATAAACATAACTGCAAAAACAAACTCAAATTTCACCATTTTCTTACAGAGCGAGGCTGCTTTGGTTCTGGTTAATAAGTTGTCAATTTTTGCTATGTCCACAAACGCATTTCGTATGGCTTCAAAAGATCTCCATACCGCTTCAATTGATTCACTTCTATACACCCATCTCGTTATTGAGAGATTGCGCAATTTAAGAGCATTTTCAATTTTTTCCATATGTTTTTGTAACATAGAATCTCGTTTACAACTTCTGCTGAAAAAAACATACAGATCTTTGAGCAAGCTATACATCTCAACAAATGTAGAGGCCTTTGAGCAATGCTCATTGAAAGTGTTTCATCTAAAAACATAAAATTGCGAAATTATTCAACGCAGAGGCTAGTCTTAAAATATTTAAAAGATATAGTTAATGCCTAAGTAATTTAAACGGAAATGTTTAATACTGTGCATTTGACACATACCTATGGGATTGAGATGGGATGTATGGAATGTTGCGTCCAACCACTTCCTGCAAATGTTGTTGAACTCCATTAAAAGTCTCAGACATTGAAGCTGTGTAGTCGTAAGACTGATACACTAACTCTTCGTGACAAATAGGTAATTATGATTTAAGGGAATCAAGAATCTCTTTTGCTTGGCCTTCACCTGTTTTATTCCTTGTTTCTTTCATCTCCAGTGCTCTCTCGTTTGGCACGTTGTTTTCGTCAACGTAGCGCACTGCCACTAAGAGGTCCGTGTTTGAAGTGTCAGGAGACGTGTCGGCCATGACTGAGTATATTTCAGATGAAACGATATCTTTTACGATGCTATTCCTTACATCTTCAGTCAAATGGCTAATAAACTCATTTTGTGAAATAGGTGATAGGTATTTTACTGAATAAGGTTTCATGCTTTTGTTAGACAGCCATGACTGAAGTCTAGGGTTATGCCTGGCAACAAGATTTGTTATTTGGATAAAGTTTCCCTCGTGCTTTTTATCAAGCCCTCTGAAAGCTAACTGTTGTCGTGCCAATGTTCTTGCGATGTCTAAAAGGATCTTTATGGCTTCTTGGTTTCGCAAATTGTTTTCTTCTTCTTATATTCTTACTTCTCTTAACTTCTTTTCCAACATTACATCGACGTTTTCATATTGCAGGCAAAATGTGCCAAATCACTCTAAGCAATTTTGAGAAATGCTGTTGCATCTTTCCTTTTTTATCTTTACCCCCGCTTCTCATCCTTTCCCATGATCGAACTCCTGTAACCCAGGCATCTGACGCTTTCTTTCTTCCTGGTCCACTTGGAAAAAGAGCACAAACAAAACAGGATACATAGTCCACCTTTATACTGTACTCTAAATAGGGATATTCTTTATACCAAATTGATGAAAACATACGTTGTTTGTGTTGCGCAATGTTACTGTTCTCAGGGTTATGATTGAGCTTTGGTTGGTATGGGCCATTCTCAATTATTTTTTTCTTCTAAAGATCAGTCAAAAGTTTTGGACGGTCGGCGGGATCAAGCAGCAGCCCAAGATCATTTTCTTCTTCCAAAACACCAATTTGAGATTTCTCAGTGCAAATACAGTGTAGCTTGGAGAATATCCTCTTAATTGCTTTGTAAACGTATGGCCATGTTACTAATCTTCTTTACGTATTCAAGGACATGCATTACAATTTCTTGAGTAAAGACTATTTCTGAGGACAACGTTTCAGTGACAGTTTTTTTGCAGTGGTTAACATTTTCAGGCAATATGTTTAATGCAGCTACGCAAGTTTCCCATGACAGGTGAGATTTTTCTCCCTCTTCTTGTTCGTTAACAGATTCTTCCTCATCAACCTAAAAAATACCAAAATATAATTACTTTAGAAATAACATTTTAAAAAGTTAATTTAATTATTTCAACGTCATACTCAGGTATTACAAACCACATCCATATTTTCCTCTTCCTCTGAATCAACTTCATTTATCTTGTTATCTATTTCAAATATTTCCTGGCATACATTGTGTTCTTCTAATGCCACTTCAAGGTTTTCCTGCAAGGTAGCATTTTTAACAAACAATATTTAACGTTAGAAAACGATACATTGCCTGAAGATTGCTTTGGCATGAAACCCAGACTATCCGAGTAGCAACATTTTAAGAAATGTAATTTATTAAAAAAAATACATTTCTTAAAATTACGTCCTGTGTCCCAAGTGCAGGAGTCACCATTTTACAATGGTGATAGCCGGGAGGGCACATTGTTATACACTTTGTATATATATATATATATAAAATAGACAATAGCTGTAATTTTTTCGGAGTTTCATGCAGTAGGGCGAAACTCAGGCAATTGACAGATTATTTATTATTCACTGTATATACAATTCGTTACGAGATGTTAAATTAACGACGGTATTCCGAAAATTGACCTCCGTCCCAATGTCTTCGGAACACGAAGAAATAATCACAATAACAACTTTGGTTTCTTAAACAATTTTTATTCTTATTCCTCAAAGTATATCGCTTCTCCCGCTTGTCTCGCCTCCCTCACTTCCGATCTCTACTCTCTCTACTTCCACCCACGTTTTCTATAATGTTCTTTATCGTCCCCGGCGTACCCGAATGTACAATTGAACGCAACACAACTTTAACATAATTTGCAACAACGGCATGCACTAAAAAGTTCAGAGCGTTTATTTAAAATTTCCTTTTTATTTCCTATTAGGATTAGTAGTCTTTTTTCAAAACAAACATGGCAGGTTTTCGGTTTGTGTTCGGAGGTGGAAGTTGTTTGATGAATTCCCTCTTGATGCTGTAGTTTTGTTTGTTTTCTTGCTGTATCCACGTGTTTTTATAAATCATATATAAACAAGTGTATATACACAAAGTGTATATACAATGTGCCCTCCCTGCTAACACCAAAGTGCAATGGTGTTTCCTGCACTTGGGACACTGAATGTACGGTTAGGGTTTGGGTATATATGTGCAAATGTGCTATTACAGTTTTACAAATCATCAGAGTTTTTGAATGAATGTAACCTTTTGTGATATATCAGTATCATTACAAAATTTTTGTTTTACACTTTTAACTTCTCCTTCATGCATTTCATCAATGCTATCACATGTAACAGGGGCAGTTGGAAGGATCTAAAATAAATAAGAATACGTTGAAACTTTATGGTATGAGTGGCCTTCACAATGACAGAGATAATTGCTGCTGCAACAGAGCAGAATAACAAAGTTTTGTGCAACACGAATTATTAGTTATTTCACATAAATTGAGCGGCACTTATACAGAACTAACCAGCAATTTTCTAAGAGAGCTATAAGGCATGCTAAAGATTTTCATTTTATTTACTATGTACGTAAGTAAGTGACATTTTACTAACCTTAGAAAAACTAAGCGTTGTTTGTGATGCTTCTACAACATCTTGGGATTTTGCCATACCATTGTGTTTATTTCAACTGTGCTTCAAAAAATTATCAGCATTCATTTCTGCACTACAATCTTTACATTTAACCATTCGTCTATAAAATCGTTTGCGTTGAGGTTTAGTTTTTTTTTGCGCGAGGCTCCTGAACGTTACCATCTTTAATTCTAGTTGTACCTCCCTCTTAAGAGAAATTTCATTTAAATTAGAAATGAGTAAACATGAAAATATTGACAGCATGCAATAAACTCCCAACTCTCTTTCGGTAATTGTGGGGCTACAATCTTCGGTGAATGAAACTAACCTTCCATTGAAATATAGTCTTTCTCGCCAAATATACAAAACCGCATAGAATTTGATGAATTTATTAGATTGGAGCTCGCTTCACGGCTTTCGACAATGCAAAAATTAGCATTAGCATGTTTTTTACATTTGCAATAATTGTATCCATCGGAATCGGCATCTGTGTTTATAATTACTTCATCTTCCACATCTAATAGACACATTGCACTGTAGAATTAAGCCAAAATTGTCAAAAATGAAGGTTTGTTATTTCCACTTAGTAATCATTTAGTTGTTTTCGATGGTATGGCAATTTTTCTACTCCCTAAAACATGACGGCAATATGCCCTGCAAAACACTGTTTTTAGCAATTAAGGTGTGTCACACACCCCCTCCCCACACCCCTCCCAAAAAGTTACGCCCCTGCTTACAGCATCGAAAGTTTTGAAACAATTAAAAAACTTCACCAAGTCCAAGTTCTAATAAAGATTTTTTTCAAATGTAGTCTTCAATCAACGTTTTACATTAACAAATGTATTAAAACGCTAGAACTATAACTTTTAGTGTTGTGGGGAAGGTGTGTTTAAAAATGCTGCTGCTGAAATATAGCTTACAAAACTCAATGGCTGTTTCAGGTTTCTCAGATATTGTAGCACGGACCACTGCATAGAGGGCCGAAACTATAAATTTTGGTGGGGTGGGGGAGGGTCTTTAATAATATTGCTGCTGAAATATCGCTTACAGAACTCAATGGCTGTATCACGTTTCCTCAGATATTTAATCTAAATAAATCATGTTTACTATATACAAAGTGTCTATTGTCTTTTGTTTTACCAAAATACTCTTTAACAGTCGTAATTCATGAAGTTTGTTTATCTGCATTTATTTGTAAAATTACGCCTAATGAAAGCTGGCTCATTACGTGAAAATATATACTGCCCTCTCAATATTTCCAATTGTAAGGTCATTTTATTACTTGAAAATGTCAGTCATGTAAAACAATGCGTAATATATGTATATGAGATTTTGGAGCTAATGGGTAAAACGAAACGAAATATATAGTTTTAAAAAGCTACTATCCAAAACTTTCCAATTTATTTGTGTTATTTCTTTTCGAGCGCTAGCTGTTAATTCAACTTTTTTACTTGTTGTCAAAATAGAAATGCACAGCTTGTGTGGATAACGCTTTTTAAAATATTGTTCGTAGAAATCACAAGTGGTAATGATGCTAATGCTAAAGATGTCGGAAATTCTCATGGTGTTGAAAATACAAAACAAGGTACGCCTTTCAATTCTAATTTATTTTATATATATTGCATAACCTAAGCATATTTGTTTTGTATTGTATCACAATTCAAGTCATTTGATTGGTATTTATGTGTTTTTATGAAGATTTATATTATTTAATAATATGCGTGATGTACGTATACAGTGTTGCACTTTCGAACCCCAAACGTTCGTTTATTACGTATGTTCAATACTGTATTAATGACTTAAATTTTCCTTTTGCGAACGACAAATAATTTTAGTGTACTTTATACCAGACGGCAGTGCTCAGCACAATTTGATAAGTCTTTGTTTATCTCAATAAATACTGTATAGCAGCAAAGTGGGGCAACTCTTTTTATAAAGTGCTCAAATTGACTACATTTTATAAGTTCCAGAAAAGAAAAAGGATTGAAATAAATAGACTAAAACATTTTAAAACAAATATTGAAATAATGTACACCATACATATTAGACCCTGCATTTTTGAAGTGTTCAGGTTAGACCATCTGCTTTAAAAGTGCTCGTGTTTGATTACGTTAATTACTGTTTTCTTTGTTAGAGTTCAGGAGATTAGTCGGAGTATAACTTTTTTCGAGATACAAATTAATTTTTTTTGCTTCAGGCTTACAGCATCAAAAGTACTGAAACAATTAAAAAAACATCACCATATCCAAGTTCTAATAAAAATTTACTTCAAATACAGTCTTCAATCAACCTTTACATTAACAAATGTTATGAGATGTGTGAGTTTTCTTCATCACATGCCTAAGCAACACTGAATGGTAACATTTGCAGCTGGTTTAATCTGTTTTAACCATTTTGTCACCTTAACAAATTTTACTCGAAGCACATTATCAGTGAGTTGACATCAAGATGAGACTTGAGGTTATAATGACATCATGCAATCAATTTTTTCAAAGTAACCTTTAATAGTATTCTGATTATTTAATCATAAAAAATTCTCAACAAACTATCCTTTTGATATACTGTGATACTTCGCGTTTGCACCACTATGCATACACTACCCAGCTAATGACATTAAAAATCATTCAAAGAACGGCCACCATCAAATCGACTTGCTCAATAACCTTCATATAATATATTAATTCTAACACTGTTTCAATATGCACATGACTTGGACGACATTTGAACTCGCACCTTCGGGATACTAGTCCGCCGCTCTACCTGTTGAGCTACTAAGCCCACAGGGATTGGAGACGAGTCAAATCTCTTAAAACTGTAAACTCTAAACAATAAACTTCAATGAATAAGAATTCCTGTTCATTGTAAGTAAAATACGTCAAAATTATATAGAAAATGAACCAATTTGACGATATGAATTCTCAAAGTTCCACAATAAAAAGAAGGCGATTTATAATTTTAAAGTACAAACTGTAAACATTGCATACATCGTCACAGCTCTATCATATATTCTTATATAGCGTTGACTGTTTTTGCTAGAAAAATTTCAGGTATTCTTTTAGCAATTTTATGATACAAATATCTTTTTCAATTTTGTTATAAATGGCAGTGGTTCTGTTAGTTATATAGTTGCTAGCTTCTGTAGTCAATCATAATCGACTTTAGAAAATGTGAATACTGAATAATGTGGATGAAACGATCGTTAAAACGTTATGTGCTTTGTGTGTTTCTAACAACGATTCTCTCCATACAAAATTGATGAAAAATAATGAAACTGGTAACAAAGTATGTTTTTTAAAGCTTCATGCACAATAAAGTGAAATTTTGCATCATATTCAACGTTATATCAGATTGAATGTTTAAATTAGCTACGCCGTCACATAGCTAAACCAATTCTTTTTATGTGACACCAAGATCATTAACTAGAAGCAACTTACATCATTACCTTTTGACTGTTATTTCTAAGAGACTTAAAAAGATAGTTATGTGACTAAACTGCCCTAAGAACACATCAATACTCGAAAATTTCTGAAGTCAAAACAGTCATTCCGTATGAAAATATATGATAGAGCTGTGAACAGTATAGGCAATGTACAGTAGGTTAATATCGTGTACAACTTGCTGCTGTATATTTAATTAGATTATTGGCTGCTGTTAGCCATTTTATCATTCTTATTGGTCAAAAAAAGCAATTGACTGGCTGCCACTATGGTAATCACATGCGTAATAAGATATGCGTTGAACGAAAAAAATTAATGGAGTGGCTCTACTGTATATCCACTACACTGTGGCTGTGACTATGTACGCAATGTTCACCGTTTCTAGGTACCACGTGACATGCAAAATATTACTCGTGTTTCTAAGCAGAACTTCCTTGTAATTTGCAGCAAGATTGTCTTAACTATTGTTGACAGTGCTCCATAGAAATAAGGAATGAATATTAGTCACAGAACGCATGTATGTATGTATAAAAAGACACAAGAAGAGCATGTTTGAAAAATAAGAGGTAGACATAGAGTTGAGTATGACCCTGTTTACATGAGACCGGAACGAAGTCAAACCACGGCACAAGCTTGTGTTGTTCATAATATTATTTATAGTAAACGTTTACCTGGGATCAATACGAAAATAACTCAGAGCAGTCTGAAGTCGTACCGCCTGCTGAACTGATCCGACTAAGTTCATAACGGTATGAATTGAAACCGGCATCAATGTAAACGCCAATTAATGTTCAGACCGATCTGAAATGGCATCAAAAAAGCAAATTTCAAAAGCAAAATGGCAAGCAAGAGTAAAATTAGCCTGCAAAGGAGGCATTACGCGAATGAGGATTTTTCGTGATTTCGTGCCGGTCCCTTGTAAACATGCAACAAAGTCTGATTTTCATTTCGGTTTGACTTCGATCTGGTTTGTGTAAACAGGGCCTACGTGGATAGGGAGAAGGTAATTATCAGTTATGTACGTTTCCATGCAACGGAGAAGATGAATCATGCTCTAGAATGTAGAGAAATGAGTAATGAGGTTACACGAAGTAGAAGTTCAGATTGATGTAGGGTGTATGTGGATGGGCTGGAGGAAAAGTCTTTGTGTTAAATGACAAAATAATTTTAAGTAATATAAAAAGAAAGGTTTACAAGACAGTACAAATCCAACATTGTATGGTTTTGAGATAGTGGCAATGGGAATAAGACAGATGGCAGAGCATGGAGGTTGATCAAGTAAAAACTCTTTAATCTGTCATTTCATTAAAAGTTTAGTAGCAAAGATTAGAGACTTTATCTAAAAGTCAAAAGAGTGAAAAAATCTTTTGTTGAAACAAAGCCGTTTTGTTATATCTTCCACTATAAAATATAAACTTAAGCATAAGAAATAGCTACATGCTTCAAAAACTTTAATTTTTCTACACTAAAAGTCATTTTGCAAGCATTGCGTTGTTTAAACAAAAGTGCTATATTAAATTAAAAACAGCATTTTTCTGTGTCGCTTGCCTTTAATCTTAACAGATATATGTTTACATGATTGATTAATTTTTGACAACTTTAATGATTGTTGCTAAGAATTTACAAAAATTTAAAGTCGTTATCCAAATTTTAAGTGTATTTGAGTAAATTTGAGCTACCTATTCTTAAGAATTTGATTAGTTTTGTAGCACTCACCTCTAAATGTTGTACTTTTATGTCATTTGAAGAATGGCAGTTGCAAGAGTGGGAATATCTTGGTCATTCAGTTCAGCATAGAAGTCTGTTGTCAGAATTGTGTTATCCCAGAACAGACATTAAACATGTGGGCAATGTACGTGTAATTTTCTCAGACGAGTTTTGCATTGGCAAAGGAAATAATGAAACCCGTGTTTATCTTGGACTGACAAAGGATGGTTACGGTAAAGCAGTGAAACGAATACGTCGAGATAACTGCCTCAAGGATGCACTGCAAGAAAAGAAAATTTTAAATGATTTCAACGCAAAAAAGTCGAGATATGTTGTAAATTATTCCAACATAGAAGACAAAATCGGATCAGAATATGTGTATTTGATATTAGACTTATGTGAAGAATCGCTGGAAAATTTTGTGAATTCTTCTTCTCAACCTGATCTTCTAAAAGCTCTTCCTGAAATTCTAAAGCAAATTTTAAAAGGATTGGTGGATCTTCATAGCAGTGTACCATCTATACTTCATCGGGATTTAAAGCCATCCAATGTTCTCCGAGACTCACAAAGCGAATTTCTCATAGCTGACTTTGGTATCAGTCGAATATTAAAGAATGGTTCTAAGACATATAAAAGCAAGGGTAACATGGGAACTGAGGATTGGATTGCTCCTGAATCATACTGGGAAGATAAGGAGCCAGTCGATCAAGGACGATACAAAAAAGAGTCTGATATATATGTAAGTGTAGGAATGTCAACATTTACAAATCACGCATAAATTCGATTGTTTTAAGTTATTGTTTTTGCTATTGGCCGCGTTTTTCATTATTGTAGAATGCAGGAATGGTGGCTTATTATGTTGCAACAAAAGGGAAACATCCTTTTGGTGGTAAACGGCTTAGACTGGACAACATGTTGAAGGGAAACCCTGTTGGCTTGGACGAAATCAAGGATGAGACACTGAAAGACCTTCTATCGTGGATGTTAAATCTAAAACCAGAAGATCGACCATCTGCCATTCAAGCGTTAAAACATCCATTTCTAATGTCGGATGACGATAAGTTTGACTTTTTATGTAAAGTTGGAAACCAACAGCCAATAAAGATAAGCGAGACCGAGTCAAGTGTAGTCAAACAATTAAATAGCAAGTATTCAAATTGGAAAAGTTTCATGGACACTGATGTATATGATTATTTAAGAACAGACGAGGTAAATGGAAAAATATATAAGTATGGTCCTTCATTGACACAATGCCTGAGACTAATTCGAAATATAGGCCAACATTGGTATGATCGACCACGGCCAAGACCACAACTATTTTATGAGATTGGCGATCACAAGGCATTTTTTCTCAAGACATTTCCCAATCTCCCTGCTTGGGTGCATGCTGCTGTGAGGTCAAATGAAGAATTTAGAAACTATGAAGAACTCGAGAACTTTTTTAATGAAAGCAAACCACATCAATAAACAGTTTCAAACAGCAACATGGATCAACTAGTTCACGCAAATCTGCTTTCTATATTTTAATGAATTTGCAGATCATATTAAATTAGCACATTATTTCATGTTATATACCAGTACCTGTGGCATAGCACTGGGATGGCTTTTCTTATGTGTTTGGGTGGGTTGGGTGGGTGCTGACCCTTTATAGCTTTTTGCTATAAGGAGACAAGAGAAGTACAAATTTCTTACAAATGCTTATTTACTAACCTGGTTTGTATGTAATGGAGCATACTTTCTCATATCTCAATAACTGGTATGAAAGTGACAGAGTCAATACTACAAAAAGGACCCACAGAAATTTGATCCAAACTAGATCACCAACCCCATCCCCCATCCCTTTGAAATGTGTCCAAAAGTGTAAATTTCAGGTTTTATATTGCAGGACTATGTTATTTGGGCTTTATCTTGTTCAGTCATTCAAATCTGCAAACTACCCAAAAAAATCAAAATTTTTACCTAGCTCTTTACTGAATGAAATACATGACCTCCACAACTGAGTGTTTTTAAGATAAATTGATCTTCTGCCTGTACTTTCTTTCCATTGTACAAATGTCTTTTTAATGATGCTGCACTGTCTTGCACTTTTCTCTTTGGTTTAACATCACCTGACGTGAAATCAACCTAAGCCAGAAAGTGTATGATTCGAAATAAATTGTTTAAGAAAAAACCTGCCTATGCAATGAATAACCTATCCTGTACTCTGGGAATTTCAAGATCCGAGACATGTACACTTTACTTGGGCAGCCAAGTTTTTTTGTAGTTTGAACATGTTTACGCCTTCTACGGGATGTGTCGTCATGGTGCTGAATGATAATAAGTTTGTTATATAATAAATGATGGAATGCATGCTATAGCGTCAGTTCGTAAAAATAAGCACTGGTATGAATGATGATTTACAACCTCTTTTTCATCTCTTTCCTTTGCCCTTTTAGTTTTTATATTTACATCAACATCATTTGCCTGACGACATTGAGAGTTTATTGTTCCAACACAAATGAATGGAATGCCATCAAAAAGTAATGAAATTCCACCATTATTGCTCTCGGTCCACTGCAGTCTGGTACATGGATTTTACATTGTAAAATTTCATCAACTGTCTTGCCTTAATAATATCAATTAAAAACTTTACATAAAATGTAAATTTATACTTTATCTTGTGAGTTTGTTTAAGGTTAGGGGACTAAGTAGAGATGACATTAATACTTTATATGGTGATCTAATTTAAAAGAATAATGATATAATTTGGATGGCGATGACAAAATTGAATGGTGATATAATTTAGAAGATTGCATAAAGTTCAATGAGCAAACATTAAGCTTGTTATAAAGCTAAGAGAATAAGGATTATCTAAGAAAACACTATCTCTATTTAGAAGGGTCTAGATGAGGTAAGGTCAGAATTAATGCATAGTAGTGGCAGTTTATAAATTGAAAATATCCCATCGCAAACATCAATTGTTAGATATTTCTACGCCTTGCAAATAGGATAAAATTGTATAATCTTTCTAATTGGAAATTTAGTTATGGGATCTGACCAACCTTGGATCATTATTGCACAGGATCAGGAACGTATCTAGAGTATGTCAAGTCCGTCGCGCGACTGATGTTTGAAATTCAAAAATTATCTATTCATATTAATTAAAAATTCATTAATTATTCTTACTTTATTATCGCATTTACTTCGTGATAAAAATCCAGCTTTATTTATTATTGAAAACTAATGACTAATCCAATGAATATCTCGTTGGTAACCAGATCAGTTGAATTTTAATTGACCTGGAATAACCAACTGATAAGCGGGGTGGCTTGACTGGTTCAACGGATAAAGGAGTCTATGAACGCCAAAAACGCTTATTTTATTGGTCAATGGCCAGATCAGTGGACAGTCTGGAATGGTCTCGACTGATAAGAGAGGTGGCCGGACGTATAAGGGAGTACAATTGCTATCTTACAATTGGTTCATTTGAATTTTTGTTTTATTGTGTAAGATTCGAGAAAACTAACATTGATTACATGAGAAGTTGTTTGCTATAAACTGTGATTTTGAGTCTTCTGATTCACGAGGCTTTTTATTTTGACAATTTGACTGGAATGGTATTAAACCTGAGTATTTCACATTCATGAAATGCTGTCCCATGTCACATATTGTCCCCTTTTCTAACTGAACACCTCATGTAGAGATGTAAAGGTGTGTTAATCTACGGCTCATATCAGATTGTTTGCCATAAATTCCAAAGGGCTATTGATGTATGAAAAGCATTTTCTATAAAGTAAAAATGTCTTTCTATGTATGCAGATATACCTTGAAATTTGGCAAAACAGCAAAGTATTTTTCATGATCACTAGGTAATTTTTCTGATGATCATTATAATTTCTAAACTAAATTATTTCAGATTTACATTTAAATGAGCTTTGATCATATGAAAAGATATTTATCATAACCAGTAAGCATGACCCATGAACCAATTTTAACATTCATGTAATTATATAATTAAAGACATGTTGGTTACATTCTGTTTGTATTTGCAAATACAATGCTACTAGTGATTGCTATATAGCACACCTTGCATATACTTACAGAAAATAATAGTCTAGTGTAATGCCTAATAAACATTTATGGCATTAAGCTGTCCTTAACTGAAAATTTTCACTCTGATAATTTTTGCTTAATCTTTGGCACAAAAAAATTTTGGGTTTTTTCTCAAAAAGTGAATTTGCTTGCACTGATGTGGAGATGGGTAAAGGGTTACAATAAACTTGCATGGTTTGAAGTCTGAGCTTTTCTATATCTATGAACTGTCACTTGTAGTACCAAATTTCTAACTTAACTCATTACATAGAGGTTTGAATGGGGGTCTCTAGGGGGTTATATGCCTGACAACTTGGTAGAAATTTTTAAAGACTATATCTGTTTTTGAATAGCATTATTGTAAAATAAATTTTACGTTCCTAGACATGCTAATGAGCTATATATTTGGCATGATAATGAGCCTAAATGTTTGGCAAAACATTCAAGTATTGTTCACTTCATTTTTTTTTTGAGAAAAACGTAAGCAAAATGTGTTGTTTTTACGCAAAAACGATGCCCACAAAATACATTTTGTATTGCTCTAAAACGCTGAAAATTGCATTTTCAAGGCTCTAAAATTCAAAATTTCTCGGGGGAGAATGCCTCAGACCTCCCCAGGTGCAGAGCGCCTCCGACGTTTTATGACTGATGTTTGAAAAGTCCTAGATCCGCCCCTGCACAGGATATATAATTTGATCCCTCAGCCTATCTTCAGTGAACTTTCAAGCAAACATCTCTTCATAATTTTTGAACAGGTGATTATGAACATCTAGCAGTGCAAGGTGCCTCTAACATGTTGCATAGAAATGCAAAAATTACAAATTGTATGACATATTTACATTTTCCTAATCTTTTCTTTGATAATCGGCTAATACAACTATAAAAAATTCGTTCTGATCTCATTTGAATGATGTTTGACAGCTGACAAATGAATTCATAGTCACATGTTGCATCATGTGATAAAATGTTTAAATAAGCCCTGGCTCCCGGGCATTCTTTTCCTACGTCACTGCTTATTCCTGCCTAAAGCTTCTTCCATTCTTACATGCATTCTTTTTGTCGCTTTTTTGTAAAATTTCCCACCAAATAGAAATTAGCACAAGAGGGTGGCCTTTAAGCTTATTATAAATGCACAATGTAGATTATCTACAAATAACTTAGTAAGGTACGATATCAGTTGGTAAAAGCTAAAGTACTCAAGCAATATATACACAAATGTGAAGTGTAAAAACAGTTTAGCGATATTTTTGACCTTAATATTATGCAGCAGCCATGCAATCCAGGTTTATAATGTTTCTTATATCAATGAATTTAATGTAGGGCAGTTTTCGTTTTCGTCGGGCAAGAATGTGTCAGCACCCCCAATTATTATTACGCCCATAATAGTAAGACTAGAGAGGGCATGTCATCGAACTAACAAATAAATAAAATTTAAACGTTGTCTATACAGTAATAGATACATGGGTATGACGTCATACGTGATAAAAACTAAAAAGTGGCCACAATCCGCCGGGGAGAGCGATCACTCTTTGTTTTTATCACAAATGCCGTCTTATCCCTCTATCAATAACTCTATAGACAACGATTAAATGTTATATATTTGTTTTGTATGATAAAATCAAAAAAATTCCCAAATTAAACGGTCAAACAGTTTGTTTTCTTGTACCCCAAAACTTCGAACATTAAAAAGTCTTGATTTTTCAATTATGCTTACGTAATGTATAGAATTGAGAAATGCCATTGGCTAGATTAATCATGTTATAAAATGTGATTGGCTGACAAAATAAACAAGCAATGGCTTATCAATGTCGTTTAATTTTGTTATCGAAGTCGAAGTACAAATGAATGCTTGAAAACCGTGTTTTTTCTTGTTTTGCTCAAATACGTCCAGTGTTTCAACTAGGCATTCTTAATTTCTTTGTTTTCCATTCAGGAATGTAAACATTTCCAGGGATAAATTCAGGTAAATATTCAAATAAGTTCGCCGCTCGTTTATCATTTGAAAACAAAAAATTTCCTGTGACGTCAATTCTGTGTGTCTGTCCTCTTACAGATCACAGCTATCGACCAATGAAATTGCTCAAATTCTTCAGGTTATTTTATAAATTACTATAAATTATTAGCGCGTGGCCGCGTGGTCAAAAACATGGCGGATTTTGGTGGTCAAAATCAGCGGAAAGACGCGGTCTCATGAAATAAAAATTTTGTCGCCCTCCAAGATTTGACCACCACGATTGCAAAAATAGAAAATATCAAAACTATTTATCCAAAAAAAATACTTTTTTAAAATTTTGCTTATTAAACCATCTGCACACTTCCGTGGTATGCGAATGCCAAAATAGCGACAGAAAAAGGAAACATTTCATGACTCCGTTAAGAAGCATAGCATTTTTTATCATTTAAAGTTTTCAGTAGTATGACTATTTTGTTTTTAACACAATACTTGAGTAGTGTTTCTACTATTAAGTTATAATTTAAGTTATGTTTGTCCAGTCTTGT